GACTCTTGCTTTTCTTTAAGGGCGGAGGGCTTGGAGGACGGCTCTGCCCCGGGGCCTCTGTTGCGGGTTCCCGGGGCTGTGGGGGATGCCTGCTTGCAGTTATCTTGAGGTTATCTTGAGTTGATTTCGGGGCTTTAGTGTCCCCGCAGCCCGGTCCTCGACCAGGCCTCCAACCCCAGGAAGCAGCCCGTGACAGCTGGCTAACACCCAGGTACCTATTTTACTGCTAGGTAACAGGGGGCATAGGGTGAAAGAAACTCTGCCCATTGTTTCTCGGCGGCGCCTGGGATCGAACCCAGGACCACAGGATCACAAGTCCAGTGTGCTGTCCGCTCGGCCGACTGGCTCCCTTAAGTTCTGTTAAACAGTTCTGGGGCTGTTTGACCCTGCCGGGGTTTTCTGCTTCTGGGCGGAGTTTTTCACCCATCCAGTCTGTTTGCTTCCCATTTTTTTCTGGCGTGTTTTTGTATCTTTTGCGTCGGTCACAGCCCTCTGTTCTGGTGGCCATTTTCGTCTGCCGGTTTCCCGGCGTGGCCACCAGGGTGGCATTGCGGTTTGTTTACATGCGCCTGGGTGTGTGAGCGAGCGTCTTGGGCGAGTATGTATCTCTGCCGGCAAATGTGGTGGTTTGGGCTCTCCCTGGTTCGATTCCGGGTTCCTTTGGGTTCTTTGGTTTCGTTCCGGAGGTATCTTCCTCTTGGGCCTCTTTTGTGGGTTCAGGGGCTTAGTTTCCACGTGTGTGACCTGGTTCTGCCTTCTGGGGTTCCGGGGTCTTTCTGGCTTGCAGACTGATCTTTTTGGGTCTTGGCACGTGTTGTGATCGTGCTGGGAATTTGGGGTTTTGTTGTCGAGGTGGTCCTTTTGATGCAGTTTTGTGCCTTCTTCACCTGGCCAGCGTGGTGCTCTCTGCCCACTGGTCTGTGGCTTGTAATTTTCTTTTCACGTGTATGTGTACACATGTACATGTGTACACTGTGTGTGTGTGCGCACATGTACATGTGTACACTGTGTGTGTGTGCGCACATGTACATGTGTACACTGTGTGTGTGCGCGCACATGTGTATGTGCATATGCACGTGTGTGTAATACACCTTGTGTGTGTGTAATACACCTTGTGTGTGTGTGTATTTGTATATTTGTATGTGTATATATATGTATATGTACATAATATATATGTATGTTAGTGGGCGCTTTTGGTTATCTTCCGGCCTCTGGTTTTGGCGGCGGATGGCTTCTTCCCCTCTGGGAGGTTCAGGGCTGGCGGGGTGGGTTTCTTCCCCTGCGCTTCATCATGTCATCTTAGTAGGTGCGTTGGACATGGTCGATCCGCCCCATCCTTCTGGGGTTCCTGTCTGCTTTATGCAGACACGGGCCTGGCGAATCTGCGGTTCTTCTGGAATTCTTCAGTCTGCGCCCTGGATTGTATGTCCTCATCGGAGGACTGTTGTCTCCGGTCTGGCTTCTGTGGGGGCTGGGTGCCTGGATGGTGGCCCTGGACCTCCAGGTCAATTCTTTGCATGTTCTTCTCCAGTTTTCCGGGACTGGCACAGTTGGTGGTGGGGCTTCAGGCTTGCCACTTTTGTTGCCTTCCCTAATTTGTAATTGGCACTTGGTGTATTTACGCATATTTACTGGATCTTGGTGCCCTGACTGAGTCTGCTTGGGATTCGGTGTCTGGCCTACCTCAACGACTGGCTGGTGTGGGCTCCCAGTCAGTCTGCTTGTCTGCTCGCCAGGTGTGTGGTTCTTTCCAGATTGCCGGGTTTGGTTTCCTGGTGATCTGGAGGTCATTCCATCTGTTTTCGTCCCGGGTTCGGACCTGGCTGGGTCTTGTTTAGGGCTCTTTGGCCGCTCCTTGTCCTTTCCTCCAGAAGTGTTGCTGCGGCTGTGGTCCCGCCTTCGGCTGTTCATGACGGGGTCCCAGGTTGCTCAGCGGTTGCTCAAGCAGTTGTGCAAGAGTCTGAACTTCGACATGCTGGTGTGCCCGCAGGGTCGGGTTTGGTTTCGGCGTCTGTTTGGTTCCTTCGGAGACTCCCCTACCACCTCTCTTGCAATCGTTGGGTTCATTCCTCTGGGGATCTTGTATTGGTGCTGCGTCACCAGCTTTCTCTTTGGGGTTTTCAGGGTTCCATGCCTTGGCACCTCCCCGAGCCTTCGCTCAATGTGTTCACGGACAGGTCATCTCTCGGCTGGGGCTTTGTGACCAGTGCTCACCAGTTCGGCCGGGGATGGTGGGGTCTGTTCGTCCGTTGGGCTCAGCACGGTTCGGGAGTTCGTGGCTGTCTGGTTTACGCTTCGGAGGGTTTGGGTCACTCGGTGCTCTACCATTCAGCTCCATTCGGACTGTTCTCTGGCGGTTCCTTGCTGGAATCACAGGGTTTCTCTTGGGTGTTTGCCTTTGGGGTTGGTCCCTTCGAGTGGCTTACCTGATACCTGGTTGATGGGGTTCTGGGAGTTCTTCTACTCCCCAAGCCCGGCCCGAGGCCAGGCTCGACTTGTGAGAGTTTGGTCCACTAGGCTGTTGCTTGGAGCGGCCCGCAGGCCCACATACCCACCACAGCCCGGTTGGTCCGGCACTCCTTGGAGGAATAAATCTAGTTTCCTCTTGAAACTTGTTTTCCTCTTGGCTTGTTTGCTGGATTCTCGGGGTTTGGCTAACCGTGAGGTTCATGTCCGGGGTGTGTCCTATGTCCTGGCGGACAGCCTGTCTCGGTTCGTTCCTCTGTTAGCGGATTGGCCAGTCGTCACCGACTCGTTTCGTTGGCTCTGCCAGACTCCTGGCCATGGACGTCTTCGAGTCGGCATGGTCTAGGCGTCTCCCATTCTATGTTGCGCCCTTACCTGCCTGCGAGGCGTTCACGGTGGATGCCTTTTGGCAGGACTGTTCGAGGTGGGGGTACCTGTTCCTCTTCTCCCGATGCAGCTATTGCTTCGGGTTCTGACTTGGTTGGAGCCTATTCCCAAGAGAGTAGTTCTCATGGTCCCTTGGTGGCTGGCCCAGCTTTATTTTCAGACGATGCTTGATAGGTGTCCGAACCCGGGGCATTTTCTCGTGGCTCCGCCTCTTTCGGCAGGTCGGACCGGTCCTGTACGTACGTGACTGGTTTGGCATTCACCTCGGCTCTTCACGTCTGGTATTTTGACGCGGGTATCACCATCTCTGTGGTGATCAGGTGGCTTTGTTGATGGTGTCCCACCTGTGAACTTCGTCTCTGCGACAGTATAATGTTCCTGGTGTTTCTATGCACCCTTTTCTTGCTCTTCGTAGGTCGTCTTGTCCTTTCTTGGGTTTTCAGGACTACAGTTATTTGATGTTTCTTACTGTCGCCTCGTTTTGTGTGGTGCTGGCGGAACTGCTCCGGCTTGCGTTCGGGGTGGACGTCACATCTGCCCCCATTCCGTACGCTTTCTCATGTTTTGTTTCACCTCCAGACCTGCTCATGCGTCGCCTGAGTCATCCTAGTCCTTGATCAGGGTGCCTTCTTATCTTCTCAGTTTGTGGTAGCCCCTTCGGTTCAGGTTTTTGCTCTTTGGTACTGGTGGTTGGTTTATACGTTTGCAGCCTTTCTCCGTCCTTCTGGCGATGGTAGACGGCTGCTGACCAGGGGGGGTGGGGGGTGGGCCTTGGGTTATTGATGCTTGATTGGTTCGGCCGGGGGTGCCTCCTGTGTTGTCTGGTTACGCTTTTTGGCCGTTACCTGCGTACTGCATCTGGGGATGCGCTTTGGGTTGATCCAGTTCCCCTTGTTCTCTGTTTCAGGACTCGGGTCTCCCAGGTCGTCCGCAGAGTTTTTATGTCTTCTAGCCTGCGGTCTATCCTTGCGCCCATGCTGTTCAGACATTTGCAGCTTTTGCTGCTGTGTTGGTGATGTCTAGAGTTCATTTCGGGCGTGAGGATTTGAGGGTCGCACAGGTTCCTGGCCGCCCGTTCTTCATGTGCGTTTCTTCTTGCTTTGGGTTGCAGGTTGCAGCCTGTTGTCTCGGCTTTGCGTTGCGGAGTTTGTGGCGGCTGCCTCCCGGGTCAGCCCTTTTCCTTCTCTTTGGGTATGAAGAACCAGGGAGCCGTAGAGGCTCCCCACAGAAAACCAGCGTTGAATGTAATGAAACTCCATTTTCTGGGTGAGCCCCGGAGGCTCCATGGCAACCCTCCCTCCCACCGGTCGGCGTTTTTTTCGCATTGGTTGAAGCTTAGCTTCCGAACTGATGCTAGGCAGCTGGCACGGTGAGGTCCGGGGGTCCCCCCTCCCTCTCTCAGGGTGGGGAGGGCTGTGCGGACGCAGTAAAGTGTGATGTTTGCTTGTTTGCTTGTTTCCTTGGGATTGTAGGGAGTTTCTACTTCTCTGTTCGGTTTTTGTTTTAGTTTTTTACCATGTGGGGTTTGTTTTGTTATTCCTACCTTTCTGGGTGCCTAACCCTGGGCGATGGCAGATAAAGAAAACCCCAACCACAAGAGGGTTTTCCAGGGCCATTGCTCCCTGAAACCTCTCTGAAGGGGCCAGGTTCTGGCGCTGGTCCCTGGTAGGTCTGAACTCCTTAGCTAATGTCCCGGTCTAATATAAAATACATTAGCCCAATAAGCTCCAGGGAGCCTCCGGGGCTCACCCAGAAAATGGCGTTTCATTACATTCAACGCTGGGTTTTTTTAGCCACTTTACACTGGTATTATTAACTAAAATAGTCCATGACTGTTGCATGAGAAAATCCACCAAAGCAGAGTTCATTTGAGTGGAGTCTGTACTGTACAGTACAGTACTGTCTTTACATAACATGGAAATAGTCAACTTCTGGCATTTCATGATATTAACCTACGTAAACCAATCCTGAGCAAGGTAAATGTAGGACATTAACACAATATATGAAGTCAAATTTTGAATGCTTATAAATAAGTGACGGTGTCTTCTCTAGTAATTTTTAATATTTGTTTGTAATTTATGAATGACTGAAAATAATAAAAAAAAAATTGAAGTTCTAATAGCATTTATTTTTGTTCAATGTGACAGGGGTGTACAGCATGTGGCTGCAGCTTATCAGGTAGTCGCAATAATGTGGCAAGTTGTGACCCAGCAACAGGTGTGTGTGTGTGTAAGGATCATGTGGAGGGCCAGCAGTGTCATCAGTGCAAACCTGGATACTTCAACCTAGATGATGTCAATGAATTTGGCTGTACCCCATGCTTCTGCTATGGCCATTCCTCTATTTGTTCCTCTGCTCATGGATATGCTCAGGGTAAGTTTGGGCCTTTTAAAATAAGAGTTCCTGGAGGGAACCCCTACCCCCAATAGCTTCCTTGAAGCTATCATGTTGAGATTGCTTCATATAAAAGCGTCACGTTAGTTGCAGAAGTTCTGTTTGGCCTACTGGGGAACCAGAGTCAGATCCTGGCCCCCTTCCCTTCTCACATAGCCACAGGGAATGGGAGACCATCTGCCACTCCACTGGAGAAAGCCTCCAGAAAGTCAGTGCAGCTTTACAGAAAACTTGTGGGTTCATAGATAATGAAGCCTTGAAAGCACCAAACAACTCCACAAACAATTCACACAAAACAAAGGATTCATTGCTTTGCATTCTTTGAACCTTGCAATTGTCTGTATTGCTGTGCTTACTTTCTGGATGTTTTCTCGGTGAGGGCGACCCCCTGCTCCCTGTGCCTCTGTTATAGTTCCAGGTTCAAGCTTTGGTCCCCAGTAGGCCATATAAGACTATTAGGGATGATGCAAGTCAGTAAAGGAAGAACTACCTCAACTACCTTGCTTCATGTAGCCACCATTTGGTCCCTTGAAAAAAATCAGACACTCCTTACATGAAGCCTCATAGAAAGCTGAAATACCTGGAAGAGCATACCACAGTATAGCACTGCAGTGAGTAAGGGGGAATCAAGAAGCTCCAGTAAGAATAGGAGAAAATCCAGTCCATAATAGACCAAATAAAAAGTATATGAGAGCTTGGCAACTGTGAAAGCTTGCCGAGCCTATGGTGATATAACATGATCAAGAAATAGATGAGCTGGCATCACAACAATGGCTAAAAAAAAAAAAAAAGTTGAATGTAATGAAACCCCATTTTCTGGGTGAGCCCCAGAGGCTCCCTGAAGCTATCCAAACTGATATGTTCTATATTAGTTTGGAGTCATCAGTCATAGGAGTCCTTGACCATTTTCTTTTACAAGTCCTTTACATTTAAAGTGTGGGGCAGTAAAGCAAACCAGCGAGGTACCTCACTGGCCTGACCTGCTGAAAGAGGCGGAGGTGCGGAAAAACCGCCCGTGTTTGGACACCGAACAAGCAGTGCCTGAAACCATAGCTGGGCTGGCCACCTAGGAGTCAGGAGAACCACTCACCCCCGATATGAATCCAGCCGAGCCAGAACTTGGAGCAGCAACTGGACCGGGAGGAAAAGGGTCAGGAACCCCCCCCCCCCCCACCTCGACCATTCCTGCCAAAAAGCATCTACCGTGAGGGCCTTGCAGTTGGGGAATGGTGCCACGTACATTGGGAGATGCTGAGATCATGCCGATGCGAAGAGGTCCACCTCCAGCCGCCCATACGTCCAACAAAGCCAAAGGAAAGAGGCGAAGTCGACCGTCCATGGAAAGGGGAATGAAGTATGACTGGCTGTCTGCTATATCGATGGACACACCCAGAATATGAACGGAGCGGAGAGCTAAACCACGAGAACTCAACAGAAGAGCTACCCGAAGTGACCATCCCCAAAGTTATGACCCAAAGAGACCCCCTTTCCTTGGTTTAGACAATGAACCATGGGGAGCTGTCTGAATGGAGCCAGCAAACAGCGGCAAACACCTGCACCATGCTGTGAGTTCGATGGAAGGATGGCGCCCAATGCCCCTGGCCAGCCTGGTGAGTGCTTGGTCACAAAGCCCCAACCAAGAGACGAGACATCCGTGAACATATCGAGTGAAGGGAAGAGGAAGGTGCCATGGCACCGAACGCCAAAAACCAGAAACACAGCAACTGGTACAAGGACATCAGGGAACGAACCCAGCAATCGCAAGAGGGAGCAAAAGAGGCTGCTCCAGAGATACCAAAACAGCCTCTGAAGGCAAGCCCAGCCAAGTGAATAAACCAGCAGGGTAAAGTTCAGGCTCCTGCACAGTTGCTCGAGTAACTGCTGAGTGACCCGGGTCCCCCACAAATATGGCTGAAGGCGGGACTGCAACCGGAGCAAAGCCACAGGAAGGAGAGAAATGGACACAGTCCGAGAACCCCTCACTAGGCCCAGCCAAGCCCGAACCTGGGACGAAACCAACTGGGACTTCTGCCAGGTTACCAGGAACCCGAATCCGGCAACCTGGGAAAGAACCAGAACCCCTGGTACATAGACAGCAGACCGGCAGAGAGCCCACACCAACCAGTCATCGAGGCAGGCTGCCAGCCTGGAAGACACCAAAACCTCGAACCACACCCAATTAGTGTAAGAAGATCTGAACTCAAACAAAGTTGGATCCAACACAGAGGCATAAACTGGGTCTCACAGTTATAGACCTGTATCATTGACAAGTGTAATAGTGAAAGTATTGGAAAAGCTAATCAAAACTAAATGGGTAGAACACCTGGAGAGAAATGATATAATATCAGACAGACAGTATGGTTTTCGATCTGGAAGATCCTGTGTATCGAATTTACTCAGTTTCTATGATCGAGCCACAGAGATATTACAGGAAAGAGATGGTTGGGTTGACTGCATCTATCTGGACCTAAAAAAGGCTTTCGACAGAGTTCCACATAAGAGGTTGTTCTGGAAACTGGAAAATATTGGAGGGGTGACAGGTAAGCTTCTATCATGGATGAAAAATTTTCTGACTGATAGAAAAATGAGGGCAGTAATCAGAGGCAATGTATCGGAATGGAGAAATGTCACAAGTGGAGTACCACAGGGTTCAGTTCTTGCACCAGTGATGTTTATTGTGTACATAAATGATCTACCAGTTGGTATACAGAATTATATGAACATGTTTGCTGATGATGCTAAGATAATAGGAAGGATAAGAAATTTAGATGATTGTCATGCCCTTCAAGAAGACCTGGACAAAATAAGTATATGGAGCACCACCTGGCAAATGGAATTTAATGTTAATAAATGTCATGTTATGGAATGTGGAATAGGAGAACATAGACCCCATACAACCTATATATTATGTGAGAAATCTTTAAAGAATTCTGATAAAGAAAGAGATCTATAAGTGGTTCTAGATAGAAAACTATCACCTGAGGACCACATAAAGAATATTGTGCAAGGAGCCTATGCGATGCTTTCTAACTTCAGAATTGCATTTAAATACATGGATGGTGATATACTAAAGAAATTGTTCATAACTTTTGTTAGGCCAAAGCTAGAATATGCAGTTGTTGTATGGTGCCCATATCTTAAGAAGCACATCAACAAACTGGAAAAGGTGCAAAGACATGCTACGAAGTGGCTCCCAGAACTGAAGGGCAAGAGCTACGAGGAGAGGTTGGAAGCATTAAACATGCCAAAACTAGAAGACAGAAGAAAAAGAGGTGATATGATCACTACATACAAAATAGTAACAGGAATTGATAAAATCGACAGGGAAGATTTCCTGAGACCTGGCACTTCAAGAACAAGAGGTCATAGATTTAAACTAGCTAAACACAGATGCCGAAGAAATATAAGAAAATTCACCTTCGCAAATAGAGTGGTAGACGGTTGGAACAAGTTAAGTGAGAAGGTGGTGGAGGCCAAGACCATCAGTAGTTTCAAAGCGTTATATGACAAAGAGTGCTGGGAAGACGGGACACCACGAGCGTAGCTCTCATCCTGTAACTACACTTAGGTAATTACACTTAGGTAATTACAGGAGGTGCGCCCCCCATCCCTCAGCTGTGGGATGGTGCCCCACGACCAGAGCACTGCCCTGGTGGCCAGTCGTGGTAACTCAAACTGTGTAGCAAAATTCCTTCCAGAAATATCAACAACGAAACCACTGATCTGAGAAGAGCAGGGGTACCAAAAGCACCGGAAAATAATGTAAAATAAATGTATGATGAAGCAAATGAAAGAGTTATATTAATACAGTATATATCTTTCTGGAGGGAGCCCCATCGGGTCCCTTCAGCTACCGGGGGATATTAGCTAGATATCTGATATCCCAGATACCCTCCAGCTATCGAACTGATATCTGCCATATTTGTCTAGAACATCAGTTACTGGAGTCCTTATGCCTACTGGGAACCACGAGCCAGAACCTGGTTCCCTCAGAGGCAATGGCTTATGAACACTTCACTGTTTGAGAGTACAGTGGTACCTCAGTTTTCGAATTTAATCTGTTCCCAGAGACGGTACGAAAACAGAAACAAATTTTCCCATAAGAAATAATGTAAATTTAACTAATCCTTTCCACACCCCCAAATATATTAACTAAAAAATACATTCTATACATAATAATACTCTTAGGTACCTTACTTTTATTGAGGACTCTTGTTGGCATATGAAAGACAGTGAGGAGGAGGGGAGGAGGAGAGGTGTTAGTGTTTGAAAGGGTATCCCCTTCTATTATAACAACAGTGATGACTTTTCTGGAATGCTCTATCTCTTACATTTTTGCAGGCATACCACTAGGACCTGGTTGTGGCTCACTGCTTGCTTGTCTTACTAAGAGTCTGTCTGTTGACACTTGTTTTCTCTACGTTTTAACACTTGTCTGTACTGAGACATCACATTGTCTCATTTTGAATGATCTCTTGTTTTTCCTCTATCGTCATCCTCACAACTATATTCTTAGGTTGAACATTACCGCTGACTTTCTTGGAACCCGTGGCGTGATATATAATAAGAATGTTCAGAAACCATAAAAGCACAAAAAACAATGAAATTCTTCACAAAGAATTCAAGCGTGATCATCACTAGACGGGAGACACTGGTAAACGGAAGCGCCACGCGCTCGGTGGACCCCGTACATGTATACACAAACTCAGAAAACTGAGGCAAACAACAAGAACCGAATGAAATTTTTCAAAGAAATTGAGTTCGAGAACCGAAAACTAGGAAAACAGGGGCATAAGGAAACAAGAGGTTCCACTGTAACATTGCAACCCAAGACTGAACAGAGGCTAAGAACTCCACCCCCTGGGGCGTGCGGGTCCAATGGATGTGACCCCTCCCAACCCTCGAGTTCGAGGGTTGTTCTGTCTCCTTGTCTCAGGGTGACTCTTATTGTTTTTGTCTCCGTCACGCTGCCTGTTGGG